TCCCGGTTCGTTTAGCCGTCCCTGGCTCTGTTGGAAGAGGTGGGCCAGAGCACGGTTCGTGTAAAGACACGATCGCAGACTTATAAGTGCAGTACCGACACCTATCTCTCAAATGGACCATTGACACTCCTAATTGAGATTGTAGATAGTGTCAAGAAGGCTAATAAATGTATTATTTAATGCAAAACAACACAATGTTTCTACTGTATATCTTGTCAATCACTCTGATATTTAGTTAAAATGAGTGCTGTCTGTCACTATCTTTAATCAGTTCTGTGAATGACTGTAAGGTATGCCACATGCACTGTAATGTTTTATATTAAATATTACATTTTCAAATGAAAATAGCAACATGATCATTTTATAAAGTATGCGTTCATATGTGTTAATGGCTAGATTTTCGCTGGAGGAAACAGCTGTGGTGTGATGAGCGGTGAACGCAGCGAAAACTTTACAGTAGCCTAACGTTAGATGGGAAACCGATTGCTTCCCCGTGACATTTTGTAAACTGTATTTATGACAAAGAACTGCACAGATGCAGATATTATAACAATCTTTCGATAAACACACACCTTGTGTCGTCTGTTTCTGTTTGAGTCCACTCGCGCTGCGCCACCGCGGTCTGCGGACTGAAGAGCACGCTGAAAGACGGGAGGAGACGAAGTCTGCCGCCGTTTTCATATGAAATTTAAAGGGGACTGAGGCGATCACGAATTCCTGCGCGGGACTGTTTTTTCAGTCCCGCTCCCGCAAGGTTCTATTACACACCCACCCGCTCCTGCTATATATTCACTGTTTGCTCACCCGCTGTCCGCTTAGAATAACCCGACCGTTCCCGCTAAATTTAGATCTCGTTTCCAGAATCTCATAATATTTTATGCAACAGTAGGAAAAAAAGTGTCACAGAAAACAAAAATGTTCTTATTTGTATTCGTCTTGTCAGAATACAATTCGTTTAACATTGACAACACAATAGGGAAAAAGTGTCGCAGAGAGAAAAGATGTCAAAATACTAAATTCGTTTAACATTTTGCTGTACACAGTAGGAAAAGTGTCGCAGAGAAAAATAAATAAATACGACATCTTTCATTTAAAATGATAGGCTAAGCAAAATATAAACAAAACCCGAGTTGAACGTCCTTCAAGGACAGCGCATCCACACTTTGCTCCATCCTTATTCTGCTCACTCACTCATCGACAACCTGCCTGTTCTGTCTGAGGGCCGTATATTTACCACGGTACAGCCAGATCCAGATCCAAGATCCAGATCCAACTCCTCCCACCTTACATATACATAAAACCCACCCGTCTCCACCATCTGATCCCTAAACCCACCCATATCCACCCCTAAACCTATCAATCTCCACCCCCTAGATGTGGATCCAACCCCGCCCCCTGGATCTTTGTTCTGCAGTGAGGGGCTACTGTTTTATTCTGGAATTTAATCCCACGGTGCAGAAAATCCGGTCGGGTCCCGCGGGAGAGCCGCAGGAATGCAGACCTCTACACCAAAATCTGCGTTCTGATTCGGTAGTACATACTGGTTACATAGGTACTGGGTTTCGGTACCCAACCCTAGTTATAATGCTATGATCGAGGCTCTGGACTCTGATTATAACTATCCCATTAAAGGCAATTTTCTCAATATGTTAATTTTTTTGCACCCTCAGATTCCAGATTTTCAAATAGTTGTATCTCGGCCAAATATTGTCTTATCCTAACAAACCATACATCAATGATAAGAATAAATCGCAGATATGCTGTTCTAAATGGACGTCGGGAACGGGATATTGTTAGACCGCCCGCTCCCGTTCAAATTACACCAGAGTTACCGACCACTACCGCGTTTTATTCGAGATGGTCTTCACTGCAGAGCACAAGAACCAGGGGGCGAGGTTGGATCCAGATCCAACTCCTCCCACCTTACATATACATAAAACCCACCCGTCTCCACCATCTGATCCCTAAACCCACCCATATCCACCCCTAAACCTATCAATCTCCACCCCCTAGATGTGGATCCAACCCCGCCCCCTGGATCTTTGTTCTGCAGTGAGGGGCTACTGTTTTATTCTGGAATTTAATCCCACGGTGCAGAAAATCCGGTCGGGTCCCGCGGGAGAGCCGCAGGAATGCAGACCTCTACACCAAAATCTGCGTTCTGATTCGGTAGTACATACTGGTTACATAGGTACTGGGTTTCGGTACCCAACCCTAGTTATAATGCTATGATCGAGGCTCTGGACTCTGATTATAACTATCCCATTAAAGGCAATTTTCTCAATATGTTAATTTTTTTGCACCCTCAGATTCCAGATTTTCAAATAGTTGTATCTCGGCCAAATATTGTCTTATCCTAACAAACCATACATCAATGGAAAGCTTATTTATTCAGCTTTCAGATGATGTATAAATCTCAATTTCAAAAAATTGACCCTTATGAAAGGTTTTATGGTCCAGGGTCCAGAATGAAAAAGAGAAAGAGACAGAAAGAAAGAAAGAGAGAGAGAGAGAAAGAGACAGAGAGAAAGAAAGAGAGAAAAAAAGAGAGAAAGAAAGAGAGAAAAACAAAAAGAAAGACAGACAGAGAGAGAGAAAAAAAAGAAAGAAAGAGAGAGAGAGAGAAAGAAGAAAGATGTAATCTGAAGGTTGTAGCTTGGTGGGGTCTTGTAACCCAAAGGTCACGGGTTCAAGTCTCAGCACCGGAAGGAAATTTATGTGGGGGAAGTGAATGAAGAGTGCTCTGTTCCACACTCAATACCACGACTGAGGTGCTCTGGAGCACATGAGCAAGGCACCAACCCCCAAACTGCTCCTCGGGAGCCACAGCAAATGGCTGCCCACTTCCCCAGGTGTGAGTTCACACTAGTGTGTGTGTGTGTGTGTGTGTGTGTGTGTTCAATACAGGTGTGAGTTCACACTAGTGTGTGTATATGTGTGCTCAAAACAGCCAAAAGATAAGACAAAAGTGTTCCCACACAGTGGAAATCTGCGTCTAATAAGTATACAAACCAAGGTCAATAATATGCCTGTTCTGCAGCCTCCATTGTATGTTTGCACAAAGATTATATTATGCATACAGCATAACAAGGGTGTATAAACTACAATAGTGTTCAGCTGCAAGTACATATTGTTTTCTATATGAACATAAGAAACTATTATTTTTTTAAATGATGAGAAACTGTATTTCTGATAGTCAGATCAGTGGCTATGAAAATCCTTTGGTTGCCTTAACGTTACTTGAATTATACGAACAGAAGAAACGAAACTGATCAGATTGCACCGTGGGTGATTTCTGTTCTGATTTACACAAACTAAAGCCATCCCAGAGTCAAGAGCGGAGAGCCAACATGCACTCACTGACCAACCATAACAATGATATCATTTAATTTACACAAATGTTTCTATTGTCCACACTATCAAGAAAGTATAAGCTGAAGTGCGTCAGAGAGCTGCCAAACAAAAGACGTCACATTAACACAGACAAAACAGAGCTTTTACTTTTTAACTCGAGGCCTCACAAAGCTATAAACACTGAGGTCCCTGCAGGAGGAAGAGTGAACTTCGTTCGCACACCACAAAGAGTCAAATGTAAACATGAGGAATGGATTCAAACGCAACCAAAAAACAACAAACGGGTTACCCGCAAAACTCCAACGGAGGAAACTTTGAGTCTTTCAGCGCTGTTTCATCTCAAATCCACAATGACACGGTTGTAAATACCTTAAGTCCACTCAACAGTGTGTTTTACATGGTCTCTTTCTCTCCGTCTTCTTGCGCTCGATTCTGCTCTCCACTAAACTCCCGCCTACCGCCGAGTCGCACTGCGGTGACGTAATGCTGGGGGCGGGTCTGTCCATTGCGCATGCGCAGCATCACAGCGCGGGATCGGCGAAAAATAAAGGGCTTGCGTTAAGACCATAAAGCTGCGCAATAACGCACAGGAGGAAGATAGTTATACAGTAATTGTTCAACGAGCAGCTTATGGAGCATATAATTTGACAAAACTGTTTAAACTTGAATTGTGTAAATTAGAATTATTGACAAGTGTCATTTAACAAAACTGAATATTATGTGGCATTTAACATAGCTCTGAATTTGATTTGATTTTAGCTTAGGTTGAAATAATAGTTTTGAATTATATTAAGCTTTTCACCAAAAATCACTATTAAAATGAATACAGTTGTGTTAATTAAATGAAAGTATTTGTACTTTAATAATTTAAAATAATATTCACGCTTTAATTTTAGTGTATATCGACACTATAGTGTTGTAGTTAATAAAATACAGTACATAGATTTCTTAAATAAATGGTGAAATAACAAAATAATTCAAACTGAAGAAAAATAACTTTTGGAATTGATAATACACAATAATAAATCAATTTTTAAATAAACGAATTTTGCTACTAAACACAAAATCAACATCCACATTTGCTCAGACGGACACAAATAAGTGCAACAGTTCATACATAAACATATTTTGTTTTTTATTCAGCCTGATATGAATTACACGTGATAAAAGAGAGGATCATCTTCGAGTTATGTAATAACCTCCCTTCCCTTTATATAAACACCCCGTCACAGACAGTTTCTACATCAACCTAAAAGAACAGGCCTCGGTACATGCTAGAGTTCAACCTGAGGTTTAGGTTCTGATTATTTTTTGTCCTTTTCGTATTTCCATTTGTCATGTAATCATGTTGTAGCAGTAGCAAAGGCGTCCATATATACTCAAAAGTGGTATTATGGGAAAATCAGAGCAGAGGTGTGAAAACCGACAACCTGCCCACATCAAATGGTTCAGAAACAGGAAAAAAAATACAATAAATGTTAATATAAAAAACTGAGCATTATTTTTCCTGTCCCATCAGAACTGCATCTTTTGAGATGTTGATTGGTATTAATAAAAAAGGAATGATGTTTTAATTATAATTTTTCCATGTCATCTGCACATGGAAACAAACATAACTGACGTAAGGCCCAATAAATCTGAAAAATGTGTTATCGGATCACAAGTCTAACACAACATAATGCAAATGGGGTTGAAACAAAAGTACATAATTCGGACTAAAAACAGGCACTAAATTTGTTCCTATGACCTAATTTTGTTCCCAGCACCATTTGAGACCAACAAATCTGGAACTAGTTGTAACAACACCATGTTCTGCAATGCCTTTATGCTCAAGACATGGGGGATACCGTCTGTCGGTGGACAAACTTTAAAACAAAAAGAGCCAGCAAAGAGCAGAAACAATTCATTATTTTAAAAAAATAGTGTTAATATGATTGGTTTAAAAGTCAAATTCATAAAGTGCAAATTATTTTAGTTTTCATTACACTTTTTATCTAAGGTGAATTATCTAAGGTGAATAACCTGCCAGGGTCATGTTTCTATGGAAGCCCGTTTCCGCCACAGAATAAAACAAATAAAACGGTAATTTCTAACTTTTTTTCCTTGCAATTCCTTTTTCAATTTCCTTGCAAAACTCCGAATTGCAAGAAATCGTCAGAGATGCAAGGAAAGAGGGAGAACTGTTTGATGTAAACTCGTTGAACTGTGAGATATAAACTTGCAATTCTTCGGAAAAAAAGTCAGGACTCTTAAGATTTCAAGTGTCAAAATTTCAATATATATATATATAAAAAAAAGGAAGAAAAAAAAAAGGCAGAATTGCGAGGTATAAACTCAGAATTTAATCATTTGTACAAAAAAGTCTGAACTGTGAGATGTAAACTTGCAATTCTTAGGAAAAAAAAGTCAGAATTGTGCTAAAAAAAAAAATTACATTCCATCGCAGAATCAACTTCCATGTGTTTCACCTCAAAATTGAAAAATAAGTATTTATTTTGCCAAAAGAAAATGAAACCATTAAGAGATTTTTACATGGTAACAATTTATGACGACAAAAAAAATATAAAATGTCTGGACACATGACGTTAATGAGAATTTGATAATAAAATGAAAATGTCACAAATGCAAACAATAAACGCCCTAAAAATAGCCTTACATTTCTTTTTTATTATTTTGGGGTGAAATGTGACCTGGACATATTTTGCGATGAGTATTTACGTCTTTTATGATATACAAACGAGCAAAAGCTATTTTTGTCCCCCCACCCTCATCTGTGCTGCATTTGCGTCTGCATTCCTCCCCTCCTCCTCCTCTCCTGTGTTTATTACCCAGCATTCCTTTCCCTGGTCCTTTTAAATAAAAGTAATGCCATGCTGATAGGTTTGTCGCGTCATAAAACTCTCTTTCTTTCACTTCCACCTCTTCCCCCCTTCACGCCGCTGTTAAGATCTTCCCTGTGAATGGTAATGAATAAAATATATATTACATTTGTCATTAAATAGTTTTTGTCTCTTGCACGGTCCGCATGCATTAGGAGCGCAGGGGCAGCCTAAGGACGGGGGGAGGAGAAGGCCATGTTGTCGTGCGAACGGTTGGGTCATGTGATAACGGTCACGTCTGCGATACGAACTCGCTCCTTTGGTCCACAAGTACACTGTTCTGCGCGTTCACATCAACCAGAACAGTCCAGACTATGAAACTCCAGTGTGTTTGTGTGTGTGTATGTGTGTGTGTGGTCCTTTCTGTCAGTTTTCACTGGGTTTCGCAGAAAATCACTGAAGCTTCGTTCCCAGCTTTCGTTGTCTGTTTCTGTATGAGAAGACGACAAAAGAAAAGTGTAAGTCAAAAGTTTAGAAGGCACTTTTTACTAGGATAACGCAACAAACAAGTTAGCCTATAACACGTCACCTATACTTAACTTATTTTAAATACCAAAATTTAATTTCATGCAAACCTGTCGCTGCAAGATTTTCCCACTAAAAATATGGAACAAATTGTGACACAAAGGAAGTGACATCATTATGGAATGACTCGTCTTCCCGTCATAGACGAGTCTCTTATCTCATTCAAATTTAAATTTTTTACACGCATTGTCATGCTAACTGCATTCAACAAGCTCAACCAGTCAAGCCTGCTAATAAAGTTATTTTGCAAAAAATTATAAAATATTTCTCTTTAATTCATGGAAGTTTATTAAGTTAACTCATTAACCTTAAGCTAACTATAACCAAAAATTCTGTCCAAAACTAGTTAGCCCCTATATAGTTTTATTACACACACACACACACACACACACAAAAATAACAAATAATAATTTAAAGTATTTTTTAAATGCTAACATTATATATAACATAATATAATAAACATAATTATAACATTATTATAACATATTTCTTTTTTTATGGCTAGGCTTTTTTTGTTTATAGATTTTGTTTATAGACATATCCCAAATTAGTTGCAAGAATTGCAAACTTCATACAAAATAAATGAAAATCAAACAAGCTCATATAATATTTAGTTTCATCTTTCATATGAACAAGGCTTTCAAATCTTATTTTGTAGCCTTCTCACTGAGGAAAAAAAAAAACTCAAGATATTTAGGTTAAATAAGGCATGTTTCATTTGATTATTTTTTAATGAATATATATATATATATATGTGTGTATGTATGTATGTATGCATGCATGTATGTATTAGGGGTGTAACAGATATATATTTATTTATTTATGATTTTTTGTTTAGAATTTTTAGGTTTATTTTAGGTTTTAGGCTAGAAAACAATGAAATATCTGTTTATATACATGTCCCATATTAGTTCCAAATAATATTAATATTAGTTGCAAGTTGTGCATACTTTCTGTCAATAGCTTTTATTTTTAAGGGTGTATTCACACCTGTCTTGTTTGGTTCAGTTGAATCGAACTCAAGTTCATTTCCCCTCTTGGTGCGGATCTTTTGGGCAGGTGTGAATACAGCAATCGCACTCGGGTGCGGACCAAACAACCGCACCGAGACCCAGCTGAAGAGGTGGTCTCGGTCCGCTTCTAAACGAACTCTAGTACGGTTCGTTTAAGACCCGACCTCGATCCGACCCAATTGCAGAAATCACGCTCAGAAACAGACAGCTCGCGCATATAGTGCTGTTGCTTGCATTTCAATGGCTTAAATCACTTGTTTTTAAACCGCAATGCTTAAAAACGCATGCAAATGACGATTTTTCGTGACCATGGCGCACAGCAATGTGTTAATAAACTAGTGTTTTCTGAGTCAGTGTTGCAAAGATGAAGTTGACAATCCTGACTCGCCATCTCCTCATTGCACGTGCCTTTAGAGAGAAATTTATCTTTACGGATTACATAATGAAAGAGTTTTTGTTTTGGATTTGAATTATTTCGTTTTGTAGTCATTTAAAGCTTTCTATAGATATATTCATCATGTCTGTAAGGAAAATATTCGCTGAGTTTCATTGCATTTATTTGAAGCGCTCCTGTTCAAGACCGAGACGGCAAGCGCATCCTATTTGTTTTCTTTATTTTACAAAAACACAACGTTTTCTTTACATTGTGAGTGCACACAAATAAAAGTAGATCCTTTACAGTTCTGAACGATGGGTTGCACTTCCTGTTTTTCCCAGCATGCTTGAGAATTTCTGTCCAATGAATGGCTGACCTTAGCACATGTGTGGTTTTGTTTACAATTTCTGGTTCACTTGCAAAAAGGGCAGTGTGAAAGCGAACCGCACCAGACAAAAAAAAAATCAACATTGTATTTGGTCCGGACCAAAGCAAGTGAACTAGCGGACTTTCCTGGTGTGATCTTTCAGGTCTTATTTTGTATCCTTTTTGGAAAGTGCCAGAAATATCTGCTGTCTTGTTGCTCAAACAGTAGAGCAATGCTAAGGTCATGGGTTCG